AACACATATGTATGCATGTGAGCGCATTCACACACACACACACACTCATTCACAAACATCCATCCATATTACTTTTCAGAATCATATTACAAATGCATTAAAAGAACTCCGGAAAACTTATTTCTCTGAAAATTTCTTAACAGCAGCAGCCACACAGGTTTCTAATCACAAAACCATACACCACGCAAAAGCTTGACTCACACAATATTTTCAAAGCGGTCGCAAGACACCTGACCACTGTAAGTGGTCTGCAGGATACAACCAAAGACTAAACCTACACTTTGAGCTCTGACAAGTACTATTCTGTGCACTGTAAGTGTAAGCATGCCTCTGCAAACAGCGGTGCAAATCTAACTGTAGAGCCAAGGGGAGCTCAGGTGCACAGGTCCTGTAAGGCTCTCAGGTTTTGACATGAGAAATGGTATTCTCAGTTTTATAAACTAAAACCCACTTTTTGAAAAACATGATTAAAAAAAAAACCCACCCGAAAATCTCATTAAATTTATAATTTGGCACACCCATCCACTAAATCAATTCTTAGAATTTTTTTTTTAAAGGGCTTTTAATTCTGGATAAATGATTTCGACCACTCAAAAAATAAAACAGAGGCAAAACAGTACTACTGGCATTCTGCTTTGAAAAAAAAGGGCTGTATTGAACTGGCCATGGCTTACATAATATAAACACATTATGAGGAGTCACACAACTTTCTTTTCTTTAGTCTCCTACACTACAAACTGAAACAGGTCAGTAGTATGTAGTATAGGGTTTTACGGCGCTCGCAACTGCATGAAACAGGTCAGAAAAGGAGACATGGCATGTAACAGAATCAACTTGAACATGACAAATCAAACAGAGAAATGACATCCTGGCGAGAAACACCAGAGTACATCATTTATTAAATAACAGGCATGTAGGCAGTCAGACACTAGGATACAGCTTGCTTTAAAAAAATATTGCCACAACTTTTGGAGATTAGATATCAAAGAGCTCAGCAAGAGGACGTATAAAATATACAAAAGCATGCACAAAAAACACTCAGGTTCTCAAAAGTCATCGTCTTCAAAGCAATCACTTAGAATGTCATTCCTTTAGAGTCATGAGTAACCAGGGTACTGTACTTATGAAATCCTAAGCCCACAAGAGACCCAAAAAAAAATCAGCTGTGATCCAAATTTTGAAATGTTCACAAAAGGTACAGCACTTTTATAACATTTAAAGTAGAGTGGAGCGTAACGATCTCATATAGATTGTTTGATGCTACATGTAAAAACAAATGATAAAAAATTCATCAAATTTTCTTTATGCCAACACTGTTAATGAAACAGTTTTATATTATATATTGAATAAGGAATACTATGCTGATCCTGAAATAACACAATACACTTCTTTTAAAACTTGAACAAAAGTGAAATAACAAATTTTATTTTCAACTTTCCATCCCTGGAAACGACCAAAGCGCAGCAAATCTTGGTCTAGAGAAAAAACTTAACGGACATTATCTTCCACTCTCTAATTCCATGCTTCCTAAATTGGGACCAAAAATAAAATTAGAAGAAAATTCTTACTCTATAATTCTAATAACTATAATATGCTCAACTGCTTCCAAAGCTTGAAAATGTCTTACACGAGCTGCATTTCAAGGCCCGACAAAAATTCTTAATAAAAAGATTCCACATTCATTCACTGCTGAAACATCACTGACAAGTGAGTTGTATGTTAGTCAATGATGGTGAACACAAGGAATGTTCGACTTGTGCAGATCCCCTAAAACATTTGCATTCTATTCAATAAACTTGCAAGAAGAGAGTCCTAAATTCCCACAATATCACACAAGGAGCAATTAATGATGACTGCTGTCACATCAGTGACCTACACATTTGAGACTCATATGCATGACTGAGCAAAAAGAAAGAAGAAGAACCCCCCCCCGGAAAAAAACAACAACAACAAAAACAAACTCTAACTGAGTGCTGAGTTTTCTGTTTGCTCCAGTTAGAATCAATTCTTATGTTACCATGTCTAGAATTTGAGCCCACAAAAGGAGACAAATAACAAAACAAATCCCCTACAAAAAGGCATTAAGCCCACATAGAGCAAGTTTGAAATATTTCACAATCATTTTAATGACTCCATAGTCATCAGTGTGAATTCTACAATATCTGAGCACGTTTGCATGTTCCCTGACCATCTGAAATTGAAAACAATATACCCCACCCCCAACAAAAACACTGCTACCTGTCTATGCTCATAACCAAGGTAATGACAAGAGAAACAACAAACATTAGTCCGCATGTAATCTGTCTCAGCTTCCGGCCTCCAACAGCCCTTAACTGGAACCCTCATCAATTTCAAGCAGTCTTGGGCTGTAGAGCAAGACGTACGCACAATGCCAGTCACCTGAAAGGAAGGAAAAGTGGTCAGATCACAGTGCTCCTGTCTGATATCAACAATGTTACCACAATCAGTCCAAATATTTCCAACAAATCCCATTATCCAGGATGATTTACCCCTGGCCAAATAGTTAAATGGTAAAACAATCAGTTTACTCTAAGAACCAGTGTCATCATGGTACAATAGTATGTCTGGGTAACAAATTTCTATCACAAAACAAATTTTATCATATGCAAAGCTAAACAATTTCTAAATCTTTCTTTAAAAGGATTTTGCTAAAATACTCTACTAAATACTGTTTCACACAGATTATTTTCTTGACTTCTGTATTTAAATTTTGCTTAAATATGTGACTTTACTGTTGTGCATAGAATAATTTTCTAGCAAACCTCTTACTGAACAAATTGAATTTTTAAAAATTAACTTTCCAGGGAAATTCAATGTGTATGAATATTGTTATACCAGAAATAAAAAACATTAACACTGAGACATAAGGCTGCTGTCCTGGGTAACGAACTCAGCTGAAAATCAGCTCTGACAGTAGGAATGCATACCCCCTGGCAACGACAGGGTTAAATGTCGTTATTCTTTATCATATGTTCTACATACACACCAATAATATCAAGTAGACATTTATCATGGACAAAGGCAGTAAAAGAGGAGATTGCTGTTTTACTTCGTCAATTAACAATTTCAGGGGCAAATGTAAATATATAGAGGCAAACACATTCTCCAATCCTGATAATCAAAATAAAAGGCGCAACAATGATACTGATACAAGACGCACCATAATAACCTAATCTTATTATTGTGAAGTTTGATTTATCCGCAGAAACAGCCATATGTTAAAAAAAGTAATGGAGACCACATAACAGTACACATACTATTTTTCTTGGCCACCCAGAACATGAATCTTTGTGAACACGAAATCTATTATTTCAACACATATTTTTATGCTTGATGGTGACTTTGAGCTGCAGAGTGGCATTTCGAGTCCAAGTAGACATACCATGTTCATACACAGCAATTCCCCTTGTTAACACATTACACCCTAACTCGCCCGGGATCGCCCGGGAATTCCCTTACGCGCTCCACCCTGACTCGCCCGGAACCGCCCGCGCCGA